TCTAGACTTTTGTTTTTATTGCGGTATGCCTTGATTTTGACCTCTGAAAAGCGTAATGGAGTCGTGTCAGTCGCCTCAAATCAAACGGTCGTTCGGGGGCCTATGGTTGTAGTTTCGGATTACGTAAGGGCACGCCACCTCACTGCTGACCTCCTGCCTTGTAGCGGCTTCGCCGTGGTGTGATGCGTGGTGGGACTGCAGCTACTGGCCTCTCGAAGAAAGTCCCGAGTCATTCCAAGAACCTCATGGAAGACGTTTTTGACGAGCAATATGAACAGGAGTTGAAACAGCAAGTGGACGCCGAGGTGGCTGCCTACGCGAAGACTGCGGAGAAGTTGGAAGCAGCCATCAAAGCCGGTGATGTGGACCTGAAGAACCTGCAGCACTGAAGGTCTCTCGTTTCTCTCCTTTTGATACCATGTGCATTTTACGACTATCTGCTGGTGCTCTGACAGCGGTATTGCCTTAATAAAGATTTTTTTCTATAAAAGATGAAGTTGCACATTGTCAAAACTATACAAAGATAAATCCTACAAATTAGAAACCAGTACAGAATGTTTAAGCGTCTAATGGGGACTGCGCATGGTGTCAAACTGGAGTAAGTTAATTAAGGAAAAGAATCCAAACCCTCGTGATCAACTGGTCTATGGGTTCTAATTTAGTGCAGGTTTGACTGTGGTAAATGTTCTCTTGATTATTTGATGCCGATCATTCGTGTGAATTTTCTTGAGCCATTTGATCGCGCATTCTGTGCAGGATTGGCTCGCAGCAGCCAATAAGACCACAGGTGCTCTTGAAATTGATTCTCAAATGCATTTGCCATTTACAATAAAGACGTGTTCTGAATTGATGGTGGCGTCTGCGCCGAAACTTTTCTTTGCTTGAGAATCGTCTTCCGTGACGTAAAGCCATATTTGTGTCTGACACAAGCACACACGAAACTTGAGCTGTGACAAAACTCGTTACTGCCATGGAGAAGGATGATGATTCGGTGTGCAGTGGTGAAATGCGTGCTTATCTTGAAATCCAAAGTTAATTGTGAGGGGTGACTGTGGTGACCCAGCGAAAGGTCGCGTTACGGTTGTAATAAATATATCTTGGATCCAATAACACTGAAATCTGCACGCTAAGCGAAAGCGTTTTCAGATTTCGATTGTAAAGATGCACCACACGTAGGCAGACTTGAAGACAATGGCACCAAGAAGATCTGTAGTGGTTGATTTAAGTCAGGGTATGATGATACGATGGAGTGTGGTGATCCCCTGTACACGGAAGCTCATAGTTTCCTATCGATTGCGATATGTTATCGAGTTTAGTGCGTTAATACCACTCTGGATCAAAGTAACTCGGATCATTGAGCACTGGCGGAGTCCTTGTGAGCAACGGATGCTCTAAAAGGGCCAAAAATGCAACGTAGAACCGAGTATTTAATGCAGGGCCAAATTTCTGGGGGATTTCAATTCACTTATGGCCATGATAGCCCCAAATGAAATGTGGCTGTCTCATCACGGAATAGGTTTTAACACTACTACCGAATCGAATCCAGAAATCAAGACATCGTACTTTCAAGCGGGTGTTCAATTTGGTCGCCTGCAGTCTGATACGGCAGCGGAATATGTGAAAAATCTGGTTACTTTAAAGCACACAGGCTACTACAGGTTGGCGTCGGTGGTGTTGTCGTAGAAAGTTAGCGGCGTTTGCAATAGTTTGATAAAAGACTGAGCGTACACGCGCATTTTCAGCATGAAGCGATTATGACAACTAGTAAACACCCCATACACAATTGAAGCTCATTAGTGCATGTTGGATCATTGGTTTGTTAAAGAACTCCGTGTTAACCAGCGTTTGCTTTACTTATTGCGGTCTGCT